AAAAAAGGCAACAATCTCTTTAACCTTATTGATAATATCACTTAGATGAGTTGTAAGTTTTAAGGCGTTTGTAACTACTAAGTTCAGTGTATGAGCGAAGCAGGGAAGATGTTTTTTTTTTCCAAAACAAAGGTATGCCCCCTTCACAACATTGCTTCCATTGTCCGTTACAATAGCCGTTACTTTTTCCTTGTCAATATTCCACTGCACACATAAATCATTTAATTTTTCACATATATATTCACCGGTGTGACTTTTTTCTAACATAATCACACCAATATTCACAGACTTTAATTCACCCATGTTAAAAAAGTGTACGGTGATTCCCATAAAACTTCGAGTGTTGAAAGAATCAGTCCATATATCCGTTGTTATTGTGAAATTTAAAACATTCTTAAAATCTTCTTTAATTTGAGAGCTAATAACTTCATACCGTTCATCCATCATATTCGTGAAAGTTTTTCGGCATGGTAGTTTGTACAGTGGAAGTGTAGTTTGTAAAAACTTCTTAAACCCTTTATTTTCTACAGTTTTCAGTGGCATGTTATCTACAGCCAGCATATACAAAATGGCATTTGTAATCTTACTGGCATTTCTACCACCTTCTAAAATTTAAATAAATTTTGTAATATAAATTGCTCAATTATTGAACAAACCTGTATATGAAGATACTTCTTCAAACACTTCAGTAACTTTTTTCTGTTTTCCTTTGATATGTGAAAATGATGAGCTATCCAAGATGCTTAAAGTTGTTGCTTCTGATAAATTCGATATATTATCACAACTTCTTTCAATTGTCCTGCTACCACTGCACCCAGGTTCGGATTGAATAATAGGGGATGTGGGCTTCTCGAAACATTGTCTTTTTTTACATGGCTCCTCTTGCTCTGATTTTGATTCTACATTCATTATCGATTTCTGATTCAAAGGGATCATAGGATGCTTCCTTTTCATGTGGCTGAGCAAATTAGTAGTATTACTATGATTTTTAACTATTTTGAGACAAAATCTACATCTTGAGGATATTGCATCGATTTTTGTAAAATATCGTTTAATAGATTTGGACGTTGGCATCGACATCCTAATATCTAAAATATTGAAAAAATATAAAATCGTGGTTTACCTAAACTCTACGAACAAAAAATCTGGCAAGATTAATACACGGATTAATAATTTTACTTACAAAAAAGGGGGATTTTACCACTTCCGCCAAATCTTCAATCTAGGCATTTCAGTATTTCACATGCACATACGATGATTTTACAAATGTGGGATGTAGGCACGATGTAGGTAACCATAGCAACAGCAAAACCAAAGAACCACACACAGAACAACATTCAATGCACAGCACGGTAACCAGTACCACGCAAATGTGGCTAAAGTCACTAGATTTTTCTAAACGGGTATTGATTTTTTTAGCCGATTCTCGTAAAAAATAATCGATTTAAATATTAATCGAAGTTTAAAATATCTACAGAAAATCGATTCTTTAGTATGAGATACAATCGATTATTCAAGAATCGAATCGATTTTTCACATCACTACCGCGGAGTCGGTTGTCGGTGTCAGAAGCGTGTGGTGTACTCTCATTTCCTTGATCAAATTTAGCATTTATTTGACTTTTTTATTATTGAACGTGTATTTGTTACTAGCTTAAACACTACATGAAGTGTACAAGCAGTAATTTCAGCTGTTCGCAATTTGTTAAGCCTCAATTTTTGATTTTTTACGGTCGAAATTGGTGTGTTTACCATTTCATTTCAATTCTAGTGCCGAACACCATGTGTGTCAGCGGCTGCGCTCGGTGCAATCAGCTGATTTATGTGTACAAATATTCGGACTATTCGTGGTGTTTATCGTTTTTTGGTTTACACTGCAGCCTTTGTTTAATGGTTGGTGTGGATTAGGCTACATTTGTTGTGTGCGGTGGTGCTTGTGATGAATGGTTTGACATTTCATGTGCTCTTCACAATTAAACGAAAACAAGCCTTGGAAATCCCAATTGCTGTCGCAGATGTTGATCAGGTAAGTCTAATGAATCTGTTACAAAAACGCTTTCGGAAATCTCAAAATTTTAATTTTGCTTTTGAAGATTTAAAAATAACATAACCACAAATTTTCTTGAAACAGTTGCCGAAAGATGCACCGTTCAATAAAAAATTATTACACTAGGTAACAAAATTTGAAGAAATTGTTGTTTGAGTACAGTTTTTGCTGTTTTTGAGTTGTACTGATGTAGTTTAATATAATGCGTACAAGACATATCAACTGTCAGTTTATAATAAAATACCATTAATGTAGCTGAAAAAAGCACAAAATCAGACATGTGGAAAACAAGATTATATTTTTCAAAGAACTATTGTTTAAAATTCTAACAAGGATTACAGATATTCACAAAAAATGTTTAACGAAAATAATTAATTTCTTATAGTTTTTCAATTTTAGAAGTGATTCCTTGACCTACATTGTCGTTTGTGTATTGTGTTATTACTCCTTATTAATGTCCACACGTAATTATCTCATCACTGCTGTATTGCACCTTCCTTGATAACGGTTTTCCATATCATGAATCTGTTGATGAAAGCGTTCACCGTGTTCCTCTCTGATATCGCCTAAGTTTTCTTTACATGTATTATTGCTCGACATTTTATGAATGCTCCGAAAAAACGTTAATGTTGACCGTATAAAAAAAGTCACAGTTTATTCCGTAGCCTATTAAGCCGGAATTCCACTGAGGCAACACTGTACGACATGTTGCTTGATACTTGTCGCCTAGTGTTGCCTGTTGTAGGCGTGCGACAATGTGGCATAAAATTTCAATTAATGTCGCTGTGTGTTCCTTCAATGGAAAGACTGTGTGTAGCATGCGTCAATGCCGCATGTAGAAAAAATCTTGTGTGTAATACGAGCGCAAATTTATTGCTCCTTCGTCGCGCCGAAATTTTCTCTCTCAATCGGCAATGTATAATTTTGCGCTCTTAATACACAAATAGCTATTTCTGTCTGCAGCTTTATTTTTTTTATATTCCCGGTAGAGCCTTACATTGTCGATTTCAGGTGATTCATCATTTACCATTGTCAAAACTCTGGGCTTGTTTGTTTTCGTATCCGGGATGGTAATTAATTATTTATCTATTTCTTTAATATCCTCCTGTCGAAGATCATATACTTCGTGCCCTCGCAGGCTCCACAAATTCCAAATGTTAATGCAACCTCAAAAGTTTTAACCTCTTGATAAACGTAAAGTAAAAGAGGAGAATGGTTTATCTACCGTCATTATAAGAAAATTTTCAGGGACATGCTCTAGAAAAAGCATGATTTCTTCATAACTTAAAACTTTTGATTTTTTTTTGGTTGATAACCAACTCATTTTCTCTTAAGGAAAGCAATAAGTTTGTGAACCTGGATTTGTTTATCGAGTATATGTGTTGTGAGTTTGGATCACAACAAAGTGTTTTTTCAATTTATCAGAAGAATTTTTTTTTTCACAAAATAAAGACTAAAATCTAAGATAAAGAGTGGTAAATAATTAAACTTAACAACAGATAAAAAGGATTCTTTAGGGTTTAGTACAGATTGACTCGTAAAGGGTTTACAAGTCGAGTTTAATTTAAATAATCCACTGCCCTGTAATTTGATGTCAAATAGGGTGCTATAAATAGAGTAGTAACAGAATTGCAAAATATATGTACAATTCCTTAGTTGAAACGTCAAAATTGTGATGTCCTTTCAGTTTGGCATATTTCTTAGACTCATCACAAATAAATTGCATAAACTCGGAAAATTTCGACTGGTTCCGCATTATTATCAATAATAAATTTTACAATATCCGGGGAACGAGATTTGTTAATTGTTATTTTTTCACCTTGTCTTAACGTTTTTTCTTCCCATTTACGACTTTTGGTATGTTTTACATATACAGTAATGTTCGGTTATAACGAACCTCTTGGGACTGGGAAAAGTAGTTCGTTATATGCGAAGTTCGTTATAAATGATCTCAAAAAAATCAATACATGCTTTCATAAACTGAATTTCATGTATTTCAGGATGCAACATTTAAAAGTATTACAAAAATATAACCATGTAAAGATAATAATAAAGTCAGGATCACGAAGCAATGCGTACACGTCACGGACTCTGTATGACGTCATGCGTCTACCACGTTTATTATACAAATGAATCGGTTTGAAAACTGTCAACAAACATGTCGGCTTGTTATTGTTTTGGTTTGTTCTATTTATGATTATAGCATGAGAAGACCGTTAGTGTGAAGCAACAGTTTAGAAATAAGCTACACTTGCAGTGTTTCAGCATACAAGGGCATGCTGCAGGCTGCATAGACGCTATGAATTACAAACTCAGGCACAGGAAAGATCACGACTGTAACCCCTTTCACGTGTTCCTAGTCACTGAAGCCTGCCACTCACGTTCCAACGCCGCGGTACAATTGTGTAGGATATGACAAAATTGAAGTGTTTTCGAACATCTGTGTATGCGATCAAGCAAATCGGTTGGATGTGGACGGTTGGTGAACAAGTCTGTCTGCAGCAGTACAATCGTGTTGTATTGGTTGGAAACTTAATCGTGTGGGGACAGTGTATGTTATACAAACCGTGAAAGCAGGTATAAAAGTCCATTTTCTTCGGACATGTTGCCACCACGATCGCAAATTTTTAACTGCAAGGTCGTAACGTGTGTGTACTGCTGCTTTTCAGCAAAATTGTACAGCAGTTGTATCCAATACAATCGTACCCCGGCGTTGGAACGTGAATGACTGGCTTTAAGAACGTTCATTTTTGCATTGACTGCTGGTAAAAACTGCTGACAATTGGGTGTTAAACACATACTTGGAGGGTGGTACAAGGCTTCATACTGTACTTAAAGCTACCAACGAGAATGTTAACATACGTCTCAAACAGACAGCATTGAACAGTTGTGACAGGCTTCAAGTTAGAGAAATATGCTTACCGTCTTCAATGCCACAATAGGCACGTCACATCTACAGAATAAGTTACTTTATTGACATGGAATAGATACAAAAGTAAAGTATAAACAATAATAAGTATGCATGTTGCACAACGTCGTCGTCTGACCAGTGATTTGTATATTTGGCCAGTGAAGTGATAGTGTGATTATAAAAGACATCAGCAGAACATGCCGCTAGTACAATCAATTAGGATGGTAATGGAAAATAACCTACATGTTACAGTGGCTGAATGCCCTCTGCAGTATTAGAATCTTCACTGTCATAATCACTAAAACTATAATGTGAATCTTCGTTAATGTCGATTATAAACGGCGCAATCTCTTCACGGTCAAATACTAATTCCCGTTCCCACCACTCCCGTATTATTTTATTCATATGGTCAACAGTATTTTTCCACATTGTGGGCGTGACATGTGCTAACGCTTCTTTCCACATTTTCACGGAATTTTTTGACCATAACCATCACGCCCAATGTGTTTGGAATAAAAATTTGTAGTAATTCCCCAAGTATTTTCTATAGGGTTAAACACACAATGATATGGCGGCAATCGCAATACTCTATGGCCATTCTGTTGGCCCAATTCACGGCAACATACGTTTTTGGAGGTTTATTTCTGAAAAACATGATATTTTAAGTGAAACGATAGAGAATAGTATATGCATTACTGTGCAACCAAATGAAGAAGTTCCGTTTTTAACAGCTGTGAATCTGAACTTATGTCATGTTGTTAAAGCCATTCACGAATTTCTGCTTTTTTCCATGAACCACTGGGACATTTGTTTGCAAAGGTACTGTGGTAGCTTGCATTGTCTATAATAATCTGTGATGGTTCTTCAAGGTTCATGAGCAATTGAAACCACTTGAGAAAATTCTGTTGATTCATTTCGCCATGATAGTCTGGATTTTTGGTATTAGAAGAAAATACTAGCGCTGCTTCATCAATAAATCCATTGCTTGTACCTGCATGTAATACAATATACCTAAAATATAGTGAGAAGAATAAATAACTAACGTGAAACTGACACATTACTAAATTTTCCCTTCTATTTTGAACATCCTGATACTTATGACACTATCGTCTTGCAATGACCTAACTACCGAACCATTTTCAAATATCCATGTTTCATCAAGATATACACATGGCAAAGAATTTGGGTTCTGCTGATTGTGCATGTATTCACGTAAGAATTGGTTCTTGCATGAACAACATGTTGTAATTCCATAAGACGCTTCCGTACACTGGTTGGCGAATAACGAAACCCAATTGAGAATGTAAAATTTTTCCTAACGAGCTCACAGAACCCTCAAATATATGTTTCTCCTTCAAGCAATCAATTAATGGCGATCGTGTAACATGTATTTCTGTAAAATAGTCGTTAGTATCTATAAGGTGTGCGCATCAAATTCATACTTTCTTCGACCATTCCATATAAGCATTCTCGAATAGCACACTGCTCCGAAGTGCTAATATCACACACTTGCTTTGTTCGGGGGTCTCTATTTTTTGGGAGAATGTACACCTTCTCCGGTTTTTATTTGTTGTACCACGGAGTTCACTGTTCGCACACATACACCCAGAGCAGCAGCAACCCTCTGTACAATGTGACTGCATTAGTAATTGTAATAAAATACACCTACTTACGTCTTGAACAGCTGTTAGTGGTAAAAGAGGTTCCCCGCTATCGCGTTCTTTAGCAAAATAGTCCACTAAATTATCGTCCATTTGCTTTACATCTTTGTGCAAGGGCTTCGGCATGGTGGAATGTTTACGTTCAAGCAAGCGACACGTACCACGGTACAGGACAGTTAACTTGGAGTTCTATAAAGAACTGTTATAGTTCTGAAAAGAACTGATACGATTACACGAGCAGAAAAGTAGAAAAACGCGAAAAATCAAACAATAACACAACATAACCAAAGTTGACACCAATGACACTTGTGAAATCGATAAAACTTTAGCATATGTTTCGCTATCAGTCGTACCAATATAATTTCCCCCAAATTGATCGATTTTGATCCGTATTGCCACGTATTGCAGCGCGTATTTTTGATTTAGTGTTGGTAACGGATCTACGTCATCCATGACGTGTACGCATTGCTTCGTGATCCTGAGTATACAGTAGTACATATAAGGAAAAAAAAACTTGATTAATAAAAAGTTGATTAAAAATAAAACTTGTTACTTAAAATAATCTCAAATTTTACGTTGCTTCTTGTGAGAAAGGTTAATTTAAGAGGGTTTTGGGATCGTTCCCTCTTTTTCTTCTTCTTCTTCGTTATCATCATCGTCTTCAGTCTCATCTTCTGTTTGAATGTTGCATTAAACTAATTCTACAATAGCAGCATCATCCAAAATTTCAGATTTCACAAAAATATCGTCAAAATGGACGTATTCTTCGAAGTCGATATCAAATTCATCGTCAGAACTGCTTTCGTGCTTTCTCAGCCATTCAGCCAATAGTAGTTCGTTTTCTGGGGTGGGATTTTGTTTCTATAACGATAAAATATCGGTACCGATAAAATGTGGTCGTCTTTTTCTTTCGCATCTCAAATTTATATTTTCGTCCTTGTCATTTATCGCTTCGTATCGCTTCGTATCGTATCGTATCGTATCGGTAGAAACAAAATCCCTCCCCTGGTTCAAATTTTTCCTCACACTGGAGAAACCCAGCATGTCGAAAACAATTAGCAATTGTTTGTTCTGATACTTTTTGCCATGCCATACTGATAAAATTGACGGGATCTAATAGATTCACACAAAAGTGTTCCTGACCATTGTCGAGATAAAGCTGACTGGTGAAAAAGTTCGTTATAAACGATTTTTTATTCTTTGATATTAAAAATTTGGTTCGTTTTATCCGAAAGTTCGCTATAAGCGGGTTCGTTATAATCGGAAAAAAATAACACGTATCTTATGGTACTTCAGTTCGTACTTTGCAAGTTGGTTCGTTATATCAGGAAGTTCGCTTTAACAGGGTTCGCTTTAAGTGATCATTACTGTAGTTCTTTTTTAAATTTTTTTGCCAGGGGTATTTCATCATCAGAACTAAATTCCTGTACAGTTTGTTCGTCTATGTTTGCGGCTTCTACATTAGACGCGTCCAAATGGACAATATTTTGTTCTCCGTTTTTGTGACATATGATTTCCATCGGCTGTTTGAGAACCCCTTTGCCAATATCTCTAATAGTACCTAAAGGCTCGTCATCGCTATCAGCATCGTCTCTATCACTGTCAGCACCATCAAGAGGTGGCATCAAGATAAGATCGATTTGAGAACTATCTCGTATGGGTTCCATCTCTTCGTCGTCAGAATCTAGTTCCTCTAAAATGTTCAAAAGTTGCTCAGCATCCACCGGATCATTAGGATTATAAAGTTTGCTTCTGTAAAAAAAAATGTCTTACCTTCTACCGCCCAAGGTATAATTTTTCATACGCAAAAAATGCAAAACATGTGAAAAAAAAATCATAAACAAAATCTACAGACTTTATTTTATATATATCGCAAGAAACATGCATGGATTTTTCTCTTGTAGAAAAAATAAAAAATTGTACACTTACCTCTTACTCATTCTGCAAAAAATGAAGGACACCGTTTTGCAAAAACCAATATGATAATGTAACTTTGTTTTAAACAATCTCCAATGAATAAGCACTCGAAAGACCATTAAAAAAGGTAGAGTTTGATATATTTCAAAAGCCGGTTCGTTGTCTTTTGTTATAAGTACCTAACCTCAAACAGTCCCGTTCATATGGTATGAAAAATCATACGGTGGGCAGTAATGGGTTAATGTTTTTTTCTTGTAGTTTGTCGCTGTGTACTTGATTGCTGTTCAGGAACAGGACAGATTTCAGACAAGGATTGAGTTAAAACTAGAGTTTTGTCTAAAGTGAATTCTTCGATGTCAGATACTTCTACTAAATCTTCGGATACAGAAGAATCATTTTCTGATCTTGATTCTCTCCTTACAGCAACTCTTCGGGAATTTCCTGATGTGGACGGAGTGCTACTGATTTCAACTTCATGGTGTTGACTCTGCCTTGCATTGTTTTGAATGGATTCAACAAATGCAGATGCTTGTGCTTCATTTGAGTTTTGATCAACAGTAACCCAGAATTCCTCATCACTGCAAATATTTTTATTTAAAGGATAAATCCCTGTACATTGAAAACCTTTCACAGATTTTTCTATCGTTGCAACACGATTGTAAGCTTTTTCAAATAACATTGTTATATCTTGTTGCAATATTTTTTGAAAAGTTTTTGTTTTTAAATTAGTAGAGCATTCTTGACTGTAGGCTAATTTGAGAGGGGCAAAAAAGTAACATCTAGCGGTTGGAGCCGATGTGATCTATGTGGAGGCAATGATACTACAACTATCCCATTGTCCTTTATATATAAAACTAAAACAGCCAGACGTTTGATATTTAAACCATCGAAAAATTAAAATTGTTTCAGAAACTACAAAAAAGAAAAACAGGAACATGATCTAAACTAATCACTATAATTACAAAGTATAAAATCATAGTAATCATAGTCATCATCGCTGATTACTATTATTAAAATAATTACACTAGTTTACAAGGTTTTATATCCAAAGACAAAAATAGTTGAACCTAAAGGATTTGGGTTCGGGAAATTCAAATCTGAAAGCAGAAAAAATTCATCACGTCAGGTTTTTGAGATATTTATATAAACATACCCCGTATTTCTTTTCTTTTATACAACTCTTGTAATTTTTTTATTTTTAAATATATATGAACATATAGTTCTTTGAGCAAATTTGTTGAGCAAATTTGTATCATTTTAAAAGATCATTTACGTAAATAAATAACATGAGTCAATTTTTCAAGCTAGATTGTCATCAATGTTTTATTTAAAATTTTTCAAGTATTGATTTTAGAATAATTGGTTGCTTTTGATTTTTCTACGGGAAGTGATAATAAAAATGTGAGGTTGGCCTCACAAAGATCTTTTTAAATGATACAAATTTGCTCAAAGAAGTATAGGTTTATCTTTAAGAATAAAGAAGTTACAGTGGTTGTATCAAATAAAAACAACACCCAGTATATATTATAAACATTATGGCTCAAAATTAAAAATAATTAACACTTTCTTTTATTGGCCGTACTGTCAGTTTCTCTTACAATAGACCGACAGTAACACATTTTCGTTCCAAAAACCTTGATACCTTCTTTTTAAGCATATTTGAACAGGTCTTCCAGCTTTAGGTACTATAATTTTACCACAAACGTAAGAAAACTGATTTCCACTTACTTTGCACGATCTCGAAGACATTTTTTATACGACATGGTGCATTAACATGAATCAGTTTAACACTAACGAGAAGGTAAAAGCAAAGTTCATTATTTTGGATTTATGAAAAAACCTGACGTGATAGGGATTATCCGTTTTTGGATTTGTTATCAGTAAGTAATTTAGAAGTAGAAAATATTTTTTTTTATTTTTGGATACGAAAAAAAGTTTAAATTTGTAAACTAGTGTTATTATAATAGGCGTTACATCTTCTTGGTCAAACAAAATGTTTTTCTCCCACCAGCGTTGAATTTCTCCTACAGGTTTATCTTTCGTCTTTGCCCATGCTTCAGGTGTGATTCGAGCTAACGATTTTTTCCACATTTCTAAGGATTTTTCAGCAGTACTATTACCGTTGAATCAGCTGGATCAATTGCGGCTTTAATATTGATGCATTGTACACAATGTCGTTATACACCATACATTTTATGATATCATTTTTTGGAAGCAGAATTTGGTGCCTTATTAATTACCGTACTATGATACGGAGAATGATGATGATAAGAGGTTGTTCTTCTAAATTGACTAACAATAGTCGGTGTTCGAACGAATGCAAAAAATGATTTTGGTCCATTTCGCTATGATAATTAATTAATTACCATCCTTTCTTATGGAGGAGAATACCAGTTCAGCGCCAGGAATGAGTCCTTTGGCACAATCTATATGCATAACGATATTTCTGTCTATTCTATGTTTTATTAAAATATTGTGTTCATATTGTTTTCAAACATATTAAGTATAATTACCTTGCACCTCCAGTTTTAGTTTTTTTGACGCTTTTCACGCTTGAATCCAGCCAGGAATAACCGAGAGTACCATCTATGTTGGAAAATCTATGTCTCGTCTAAAAAACTAATCGGAACAATCCTTCATTTTCGAATTTTTCAAATTTCTGGAGAAAAGAGTGACGTTTCAACACAACATTGGCAATACCATTAACTCATGTCTCGGATTATCTTATTTGTAACGAAACCCAATATTGTGCAAAACTTTTCATAGCGAAGCTATACAAGCTTGTAAAAATCTCAGTATCTGATAGTTTCTTTTGGAAGGTGGTTAAAGTATAACGTGTTCTTCTAAAATTGGTCATTATAGTATGAAAGAAAGGAATATGCACTATAACTATATAAAAAATGTACTTTTTTTTGTACATTTCGTAGATAACATTTCGAATATCGGCTTTTTATCAACATCAATCACTGATTTTACCCGTTGCCTGTTTTTCTTATGACTTCCTTCCTAATGGATGGCTCTCCTTTTTGCATCAACCGTCAATCAGTTGGAAGATGGTAATTCTCAAAAACCACTGCCACGATGGAGCAAACGATTCGTTTTGTTTTATTAATTGTTAATAATAAATAGGTTACCTTTAAAAAAATACTATTTCAATTCCTCATGTACATGTAAATACAGTGCTTCAACATTTTTGACGCCACTGCTCTAACCACTGAGTGAATCGCTATATCATTTACCTGAAAGTGCACTACGGTTTTCTTGCTTTACCTCATTTGCCCTATACTAAAAGACAATGACACCCTTAGATTCAACGCTTACCTGTAAAAAGAACATCTTGTTTTTTAACAAAAGAGGCAGGTTAGAAGCCTACATACTGGGTGATAATAATTGTTGATTTACAATCACCTCGGTTTATGGCTTAGGCGAACGGAGTTCTGAATTATATTATAGTACCATTTGTTATGATATTTCTTTTTCTTAAAACTCAATAATTAATATCAATATATAACCCAAAAGATAAGTATTACACAACATTCAAACACGTCGTTGTCTAAACAAGAAATATAGTTCATGAAATGCAACTCATAATTCTTTACAATAAAACCAAAAGTCAGAAAAGAATATTTATTAAAATTATTATTAATCATTATTTTCATCAACAGATGAAATGCCGTCACTGTCGCTCTCAAGATTAATAATAATTGAACTTGTAGAACTAAAAATTAAATTATTAAAAGAAGAACACAAGAAAAAGATGGAAAATATTACAGAAAAACACAAGGTGGAACTACTAATTTTAAAAGCTGAGTTGGAATTAAGACAATAAAAATTAAATAAATAATTGACCAAAGTTATTAATTTCTATTATTCATCTGAAGGAGATTTTGAAAATGTTCATTTATTAGTATATAGACGCAGAGTCTATTATGTCCATGTCCTTGCACTGATGCATTATTTACTTGTTCTTCACCTTGTAAACGTCTTCTATGTCGTTCTCTTGCTTGAACTGCAGCAATAATTTCCGGATCGTCTGGTGCATCGGCTTCTCTCTCATTTATAATAATGTCATGTAAAACTGCAGTATAGTTGGATTCATGTATCTTTTTACACACGTGACCAAAAGCTAACGTCCAAACCGTCGTCTTCGTTGATTCACTATTAAAGTCTCTCCAATTGGTTACAATCGTCCGACTTGTCAAAAGGGAAAATATCAAAAGATGTCACCCCCTTCGGGAGTTACAGGAACCTGTAATTAATCCGTTTTGTTACGCGCCAAAACAGTTTGTGCTTAAATTGATATTATCAAAATGTCCAAAAAATATTGCTCTGTGCCTGCTTGTGTAGTAATCAAGGATCCTAGAGACCACAAAATAATGCACAGATTCCCTTCAAACACTGTGAACAAAAGGTTGTGGTGCAAAAAGGTTTTTAATGCTACAAGTAGGTACCCCAACATGAATCTTTTACCTAAGGGAATGTATAGCCATTAAAACCATTTCAGGTGATAATATTGCCAATAATTTATACATTTGTGGTAAACACTTTTGAGAGAAGTTGTTATTATTCAAATAAAAGACTTAAACCCGGCTCTGTTCCTACTTTGTTCCTCCATGGTTCCAAGTCACCGCTACCTGTTCCTACTTCTTCAAGCTACCAAGCAAACACTAAACGTAATCCAGAATGCAGCTTCATAATTCCTGAGACACATTCCGATAACAATGTAAACACCTCAAAAAAAAAATTTTCCTATTGCATAACCCTTTGAAGACCATCCACGCCCATGGCGTTGTGACTTTGGCACCGGTACCGAAATTTTGCCTCTTTTTCAAGTAAAAACCGAAATACATGATGTCAAATTGTGTCAAAAAGTCAGACCATGACAGACATTTAGCCGACATTACAGATTCCTTTCCCTCCCGACGTATACGCCCTCACATGTCACATTTAAGGGATTGGAGAGACTTTAATAGTGAATCAACGAAGACGACGGTCCAAACTAATAACTGTTACTTTGGAGTAATTAGTCAAAAAGATTACAATGTTCATAACGTCAACATGACACAAATGTGTAGCCTCAGGCAGGTCTTTTGGTTTCGGTGCTTTCCGATTGGGTTGTGATTTTGTCGGACTGGGAAGGAGTCTTTCTTTTCTAGTTTTAATCTTCGAAACCGCTCGGCGAGTAACGCCTAGAGCATCTGTAACTCGCTAAAAATTTGAGCGAAATTATTAACCATGAACCTTCAAGTGGTTTTTACTTACTTCCTTGTTCTGTACCATTTAATGAGATTAAAGGACCACCGTTTTCCTTCTCAAGAGCAAAATACTCTATAAAGTTGGACACGATGTCCTGGGCACGGGAACTCAAACGTTTCCCCTCCATGTTGTAGACCAAACACGAACAAGAAATAAGATCACAAAACATAAAAAATAGGACAACGAAACAAGAATCTTAACAACCAACCAACTTTAGGAAGAACTGAATAGAAAACTTGAATAGAACAACGAAAAACTGCGATTAACCACTCTGAGTAAAACCAAAAATGACAGTGACGTTTGATGAAAAATCGATGAATTATTAACAGTCACTAGATTGACTACATCAGTGCCTGTCGCACTATGTGGACGAATTTATTACGTATATTATCTTTTTCTAATTCAAGGAACTTTGTGGAAGGGAATAACTGACGTAGAGCGTAATTTGGCCTAATTTCGGTAGACATACTATTTGTCTGGCTCTTCGTTTTTGTAATCCTTAAAACAAAGATTCTTATGGTAGGTACTGTCTGAGCTTGTATGATACTTCGGTCACGTGTGTCAAAAGATACATGAATTCAACTATAGCAACTATTATATTTTGCGATCTTTCTAATGAAACACGCATACAAAGCGACAGAATAGGAAAACGTCTTTTCCAAATTTCGTAGCACTCTATTGGGTTTCGTATTCGTATATGTGACTCATATAGCATTTCTTGAGGGGTTTGAGGATTAAGCACTGGAGTCATCAGATAATCAGTTGCTGCATAACCCCTGTCTCCTAACAATATAGCATCTCCAAACTGACCAGAAACAAATTTTCTTTTTACTGCAGAGTTATTAAAAATAGTTTGGTCGTGTGTCGATCCCGGCCACCTAGCCACAATGTCTAAAATTCTTCTATCAGAGTCGCAAATTGTCTGAACATTCCAAGAAAACCAGCCTTTCCTACATCTGTAGTATTCAGCATTCTCTCCTCCAGGTGACTCAATATCCACATGCGAGCAGTCTATTGCTCCGATTATTTTAGGGAAGCTGGCAATTCTGTAGAAACTTATTTGAGTTTGTGTTATCTGTTCGGGTGTGCTTGGCATAGAAACAAGACGTGGTCTCAAAGAAGCGATTGCCTGCGTCACTTCGGTGATGATTTTGCAAGCTGATGCTTCACTCATCCCAACAAAATCAGCAACCACAAGAAGCATGGTTCCTGTTGCCATGAATCTCAGAGTTAACAACAATTTTGTTCTTGGATGTATGGTGTATTTGTTGGAGACCTTATCGTATCTTCAATTTCTTGCAAAATATTCGAATATGTATTTTTTCTCGTTCAATTCGGCATAATAGTTTTTTCTGTAAATGACAATGAAAATATGTAAAATTTTAAATTACAATTATATTTCACCTTTCCAGATATCTTTTAGGGCGTCTCATGCTGATTCCTAATTTCTTTGTCATTATCTGAATCAAAAACTTCCACGTTTTCTACCCACATTTTTAGTTTTTCCCAACATTTTTTCTTAAATCTCACTTTTGTTGACGTAACAATATGGCACTTTTAATACCAACACAAAACAAAAATAACAAAACCGAGGGATAATTAACCAGGGAATAAAAAGGTATTGTAAAACCAGAACAATTTATCCTAGGGATAAATGACGGTATAAATTTATACCGTAGATAACTATTCTGATAATTATCCTTGGTTGGTAAAAGCGGGCCTAAATGCCTAATAAAGCACTTATTTTTCTTTAACTATCTCATTGTGCTTTAAAATATTTTCACGATAAGTCGATAACGACGCAAAAATGTGTTCTTCAGATTGATCATGTTTTTGTAAATCCGTGTCGATATGTTGTATATCGCTGTAACCTGTGGAATTCCAAGGGGTTCGAAATTTTTCGTTAAATAACAGACAATTCCAGCAGTATAGTTTGTTGTTTCGCTATCGGTCAGCCAATAATATTATTTATTGTACCACTTTTGACTAAAGCGTCCGCGAGAGTTTGTGATGAGTGATGATTAAATTTTTCATTTCCGGACATGGTTTTCATTTATGAAGGAATAATAGTTCATCATGTTCCATGTTACTGAATTTATTTTTTATTAAAATAACATAATGTCTTTACCTTCATTTACCACCTCTGTAATAGTACTTGCACGGCTTGCAATTGGACTTGCCATTTTAAAGAAAAAGACACTTAAAATGACTTTGGTAACCGCCTAACCGTTAATTTGAATAAACTAGACTATGTAATTGGTACCGTAATTCCCGTTTTTCATATTCATGTTTTTGTGCAAGTAATTTGAATTTCTTTTCTTGCGACGAAAATATAGCTAGAGAAGCTTTATAAATTTATGTATTAATATAATGTAGCTTTTTTTGCCATATTCTTGTTGACAGACAGGAACTGACAGACTATGCATGATGACTAGTTATAGCAATTAAATGCACAATGCAGTGAAATGAAGTAGAAGGTTGATCTTCTTGAACGTCAGAACATCTACTTTCCATAAAGGGCATTGCCGTTAATTTCAACGTCTTCTTATTCCCCCTCACATAAAAATCTTCAGGTTTAAAATGTTTGGAGCAAACCAGCTTATTCTTGGACCACACGAAAGTGTTCTTATTAATTCCAAGAGCCAACAACCATTTCCATAATAATTCCCCACGTTAGGTGGGTCAAATTTGACCCGTCCTAATTTTGCTTTCGATTTTATTATTCCAAGTTCCAACTGCCTCTTTATTATGTTTTAATGAAAACAAAGTCACAAAACAAATATTTTTGTCATTAACATCGATGAAAAAATATGTTTATAAAAAAAACAGTTAAGATTTAACACAACATACTAATAAAATTCTTAAAATTCGATAGTTTTATTGTGTACAGTTTTGGCAGATTTTTAAGACATTTATTGTTACTTTTGTCTTGCAACAAAAAATGCCGCATTGTCCGCATTTGTCAGAATATTTGTTAGCATTACCCACACAAAGCCCACATCTTTCTCTTTTTTCGTTTCTGAATTCCCTATTCCTTGCAACTACTTTTGTATCAACTACAGTACCAATTGCCATTTATACACTTCGAGGAACACCATTAAAACCACTATCAACCCGTCTTTGAATGGGAGGCTTCACTAGCTGAGGACCGAGCTCTTTATGAAATAATCGTCTTCTTCAAGAAACACTTTGTCTATAATCTGGGTTTTTCATCTTATAAAGTTTAGGCAAATCATAAACTACACAAAAGTCCATCCCTTTGTTTTTCTATTACATGCCTACCCATTTAACATCTTGTTAAAAATCTAGAATATGAAGTCCCAAAGTCGGTAAAAATTGATCCACTGCTATAAATTTGTGATAACTATCATGTAACTAAAATCAAGTGGCGGCAAGTATTCACATATTGTCGACAACACCAAAATAGGCAAAAAATAAAATCCAGGAGAAAAAATTTCAGAGATTGAAGCAAAGAATCACAAAAAAGTGGTTCGTGGGTCAAATTTGACCCAGGCTTGGGCATCCGAGGGTTAAAACATGATTGCTCGCTGCGGACTGAGAGTCCGCATTTTAAAAATTATGGTTTTTATGGTTCATACTTAATGGTAAAGTAAAAAGCTCATAGAAATTTAACAAAAATATATTTAGTAAACATAAGATAATATAACATAACAAGATATTGCATCTACATTTGCTAGACACATGATTATTTCTAATCATCATTAATACTTGAAAAACAATTATAACACATAAAAATAGAATGTTGTAAGCAGATAAATGTTTTACATTGTTGGCAGGAATACCGTGTCGGTCTATTTTTTCTTCGATCACAATACGTGTATCGTCCGCGGTGATCTGCAAGGATGGAAGTGGCTGATTGAGGTGTTTCTGTTCCCAAAATTTCACATATTCTCGCTGCCATGGTTCTTGGGATACCCTGCATAGCACGACGACGCATGTGGGACTCAATTAGATGGAATGATAATCTTTTCGAAAACTCTCGTCTTTTTATACTATCTATGTTATTGTTCATCGAGTATATAATCAAAGAATTAATACCAGCAATATTTAGCAAAGAGTAAAACACTACCATGGGCCATCTGCGAGTGTTCCTTGCACAGTCATATGCTGCACATAATTTATCGACACTATCTACGCCTCCTTTTGTCGCATTATAGTCCATGATCATGTCTGGTTTATTTGTGTTTCTATCAATACAGTCATCATGATGCATACTTGACACCAACAATACATTCTTATTTTTTTTGGACATATATGAAACAAGAGTCGCATTTTCACGAAATCCGAACATACTTGTTAGTGCTGGACGCTTAAAAGGCCGAGAAAACTCTATTGGTAGTTCCTTTTTATTTTTTCGTATCGTTCCCAATAGCGTAAGATTGAAGTTTTTATATAAAGTGTCCAACAAGTCTATGCTGGTAAACCAATTGTCAAGCGTTACATTCCTGCCAGTACCTTTTATTGGTTGGCACAATCTTTGCACAGCTGCGTTTGGGGAGTTATTTACTGCAAAAGGGCCATCGGGTTGTTTACCAGCATACACTTCTAGATTTGAAGTGTAAAAAGTTTTTGCATCAACTAGTGCAAAAATTTTGATGCCATATTTATTAGGCTTATTAGGTATGTATTGTTTGAATGCGCATCTCCCACGAAACGCTTCCAATTTCTCGTCGATGGTCACATACTCAAAAGGAGTATAAGCAGTTTTACAGTTTGTCACAAAATTGTCAAATATTTCTCTTATAGGAGCTAGTTTATCTAATTTCTTACGAACTTCCCTCGTCGTCATATCATCAAACCGTAAATGCTGCAGGAGAAAACGAAATCGACTTTGTGACGTGGTTAGTCGAAAAATTTCCACTCCAGTACCGTTGCTATTCCGTAATTCTTCAACATTTAGGCGACTGGATTTCAGTACTCCTGCTAAGTACAACAGTCCCAACAGTGCTTGTACTTCTAAAATGTCAGTTTCCTTAGCATCTCTTTCTCGGGTGTAGTTCGCTCTTGCTAATCGAATATGATCATTTGTGTTTTTCACTATGCAATCTAATATTTTATCGGAAAAAAAGTGCTTCCAAATATCAAATTCCATTTTTAAATTTTTTGCAACTGCTTTTACACCTGGAAGATGTTTTACTAAGTTTTGTGATCGTGTTCTTACATTCTTATTCGGAACATGTTTTTTCCACAGTGTACAATTATCCTTTCCAGTAAATGTTGGTCCTTAATTAATCTGCTCTACCTCATCACAATCTGAAATCTCCTGTTCCGTATCCGTGTCAGTATCTTGTCTTTCAAGTGCATCTTCTTCATTTACATCCTCCTCATCATCATATTCAATAACCGACCCTTCTACACTATCTTCTAACAAACATTGTTCCATAAGATTGTGTAAACGTTTCTGCTCATTCTCGTAAGAATGCATCTACAAAAAAGTTTGTTAACGATATAAGTTAAGATGCTATAAGTAAAAAGTACCATTTACTGCTTCAAATGCACTTCGTAATATAAAACATTCTAGTAGAAGAACTGAAACGTTAGCTCGCAGGCGGACTGAGACTCCGCAAATGACAAAAAACTGTAGAAGATGCGCACTAATTGCACTGCAGCTGCGTACTAGGTGTTAATAGGCTAAAACATGAAGGTATACGGCGACGTTGCTGTAAGGGGTGGGGAATTTTTAAAATATCTACAAAAAGAGATCCCTGCGGAGTGTCAGTCCACGCGCGAGCTCTGGAAGGTTAAATTCAATTGTGATCAGTAATGATCACTGCTCAGTTAATTAATGAAATATGAAAGTATGTATATGTTAACAACAAATCTCAATTAAAATTAATATCAATCAGCCATGAATGAACTTCTAGAAGCATATATTACAAATACATAAAAGCGTCATGCAAAAATGCCCTACCATGCTAGATAATATCAGTCGAGTATACCTGTAATACTGAATAACAGTCTTCTGAAACTTTTTTTGAGTTTTTTAGGTGAACAACTAAATCGTGCAGCGTTTTTATACGTTGGTTAAGTCGTCTGTTTCTAGTATGCAGGTATTTGATTAGCTTCCTTTGTTTTTCTATTGTTTTCACAGCAATGCCCCACATCACTTTGGCTTTTTTGGGATCTGTGATGTCTTCTTCCTTGCAATCACCAAAATAAACCGGTATAGAACGCTTTCTAAAATTAAGTAAGTAGGTAACACATAAACTTTATTTTCAGTAACAATGTTTTGACAAGCATACCGCTTTGCAGTCAACGATGTGGGTACGTTTTTATTGATAAACGTACACGTTTCTTTAGATGTGATCGAATCACTTCTTGTTGATTCCTTACCACAAAACCAATTAAAAACCACATGCTACAGTTTCACACAATAATTGATACCTATAACATACCTTATTGATGGCTTACATTCATTAACGTGGTCGACGATTCGAATTTCAAGTTCTGATACATTCTGAACAATTAATCGTTGAGATCTTGGTTTTACAGTCTTTTTTTGAAGATGCTGGGGAAAATTAAAAATCGAGGGCACTGCATTTTTCTTTAAAAGTTTTTGACCGAAACGATACAGAAAGTCATTTGCTGTAAAATGTGTACTGCAAATTTTTGCAGATACTGATGGTTGGTAGTCTTTCCTCCGCATCGGTATTAGCCATTTTGTTCTTTGTTCATGGTCTTTGGGAAAACTATAATAATCAAATTGTTTTACTAAAGTATATCTACGATGTGTTTTACGGTTTCAAAATCTTTTAAACAATAACTGCGTAAATCAACATTAACAATGTACTTACCCGTGGAATGAAATATTTTTTTCCTCTTGGTACCTATTTGTACAGTTGTATGCCGCGCAGGACATAACCATGGTTGCTGTATAATGTAATGTCACTCAATCAATTGTTATCTACGCAGAATAAGAACAATAAACTAGATACACATCAAAAGCCAACGTATGAGTCGTTATGAGTGTAGCCGGCCAGTGCCCTAAGTCAGCTGATCGTAATGTCTGTCTCTGTCTAATTATGGAGTCGTTATAACAGACGTGCGCGCCATCCATTCGCCTATTAGATCCATGGTCTTTGTAAACAACCTAACCTAAAATGTATTTCGTATGATTTTACTTACTTATGGAACGATATCCCTTCCGGCTTGAATCTTCGCACACTTGAACAGTTTTTAGCTGCACAAGACATAATCTTAAATAATAAAAAAACACTGGTAAATATCACGGTCTTGGAGGTGAATGCACGGTGAATGATATAAAAGGCTTCAAAACGGCTGCCACTATAGCGTCGGCAAGAATTTGGATGCGGACTGGTCGACATCCGTTCCTCCCTACTCTAACTTCCTTGGAGCGCACAGGCTTGATTCCATATCATAAATCGTCACCAAAATTCTGTAACATCTTCAATTGCCCTTGTGTCATAATTACCAACACAAAGTCTCGTTGTATTAGCTCTGGATCTTCCTTAAGTAACACATTTTTATGGCTTGTAAAAAAGAACGTCATGATTACATCATTTGTATGATGAACAGAATCATGGTTTAAGTTGTATGCTTGCTCAATATTATATAAATCTTTCTTTTTACTTCTCGAGCGTAAGCAAAGGAAGTATTGTAATCGAGTCCGTCGGCCGACTCTCTACTTTTACGTTTTCTCGATCTTTCATGACCCCTAGAAGACGAAGAAATAGGTCTCCCATTTCCGTCTGTCTGTCCGTCTGTCCGTCTGTCCGTCTGTCCGTCTGTCCGTCCGTCTGTCCGTCTGTCCGTCTGTCCGTCTGTCCGTCCGTCTGTCCGTCTGTCCGTCTGTTGTCCCGGATTTTTATTAGACAGATAATCTCCGAAAGTACTCGACCGATTGTTGTGAAATTTTGTACTTATATTAAGAATATCATGTAGATGGTAAAACGCTAACCAAAATTTGTCTAATCATCCCCACCACTAATGCGATGACGTCACTTCAAAATTGTACATAGTAAATGGGTTTTCAATTGTATAAAATAACATAGTCCTACACATGTAGTTTACAACTCTGAATCGACTTTTCACCCGAAACGTCCAGATTTTTGAAAAAAAAATCAAAATTATAAAACAACATTTTGAAATTTAATTTTTAATCTGCTAACCAGAATGCTTTGAAATGTTGCAGATGTTTTAAGGCTATAAAGAGCATCATAAATCTTTAGTCAAAAAGTATTTGCTTATCCCGTCCAAAAACTTGATGACGTCAGCTCAAAAGTTTGTGGAATAAATCATATCTAAAATGTACAAAATATGATGAGTCTGTACTTGTGATCTATCACTCCATTCATATTTTTTGGATTTGCATATACAGGGTGACTCAAAAAAATTAATGAATGCGTAAATATATTTTATTGATTTAATCAGGAACTACAAAACCGAATGCTCTGAAATCTTGCAGATGTTTTAAGGTCATAAAGAGCATAATAAATGTTTAGTCAAAATATATTTGCTTATCCCCTCCAAAAACTTGATGACGTCAGCTCGAAAGTTTGCCGAATAAATCATATCTAAAATGTACAAAATATGATGAGGCTGTACTTGTCATTTATCACTCCATTCATATTTTTTGGATTTGCATATACAGAGTGACTCAAAAAAAATTAATGAATGCGTAAATATATTTTATTGATTTAATCAGGAACTACAAAACGGAATGCTCTGACATCTTGCAGATGTTTTAAGGTTATAAAGAGCATAATAAATGTTTACTCAAAATATATTTGCTTATCCCCTCCAAAAACTTGATGACGTCAGCTCGAAAATTTGCCGAATAAATCATATCTAAAATGTACAAAATATGATCAGTCTGTACTTGTGATCTATCACTCCATTCATATTTTTTGGATTTGCATATACAGGGTGATTCATGAAAATAAATGAAAGCGTAAATTTATTTTACTGATTTACTCACGAACTACAAAACCGAATGCTTCGAAATCTTGAAGATATTTTAAAATTATCATAAGCATGGTAAATTTTTGATCAAAACGCATTTGGTCGTCCCCCCTAAAAAATTTATGATGTCACCACAAAATTTAGCTGAAAAAATCCTATCTAAAATGTACAAAATATGGTGAGTCTCTTCTTGTGATTTATCATTCCATTCAAATTTTTTCGATTTGCATATACAGGGTGACTCAAAAAAATTAATGAATGCGTAAATTTATTTTATTGATTTAATCAGGAACTACAAAACCGAATGCTTTGAAATCTTGCAGATGTTTTAAGGTTATAAAGAGCATAATAAATTTTTAGTCAAAATATATTTGGTTATCTTCTACAAAAAACTGATGACGTCAGCTCAAAAGTTTGCCGAATAAATCGTATCTAAAATGTACAAAATATGATGAGTCTGTACTTGTGATTTATCATTCCAATCATATTTTTGGATTTGCATATGCAGGGTGACTCAAAAAAAATTAATGAAGGCGTGAATTTATTTTATCGATTTAATCAGGAATTAGAAAACCGAATGCTTTGAAATCTTGGGAATATTTTAAAGTTATTATAAGCATGGCAAACTTTTGTTCAAAATGTATTTGTTCATCCCTCCTAAAAAAATTGATGACGTCACCCTTAAATTTTGCTGAATAAATCCTATCTAAAATGCAAAAAATATGATGAGTTTGTACTTGTAATTTATCATTCCATTCATATTTTTTAGATTTTCTTAAGAGGTGGTTCAAAAAAAATTAATGAAGTCAATTTATTTTATTGATTAAATTAAAGGCAACACTTATTATTAGTATTACACCCCAACCAACCCAATTTGGTAGACACAAAATTTGTTAAAGGAAAAACTCGGTTGAAACATAAGGGTAGCACGCTTATTTACATCGACTTTAACATTACAGACCTGCATTTGTTCACTTGGTTCCGCGAATGTGAAATAGAGATGTTTATAATCAACCAATTCTGAATTTCACCGTCAAGAATTAAAATAAAACCCAATGTTTTATATAATAAGCGGAAGTCGAAGCAATAAAACCGATGGTCGTTTTGTTTACAGTTTCTCTGTTTGGCTCTCACGTATGCTGTTACGCTTGTCATCTTAAATTAAGAATG